TTATGATTTCTTTGGCTTTGCTTTTCTTTGTTTTAAATCAGCTTGTATATAAACCAACCAGAGAGCTCCTTATCTAGTTGTCTGTTGTCTGGTCTCTTCATAATGGTTGCAGTTACTAGCTTTGCTAGGAAGGGCTTACATCATTAGACATGGTGCAATTGGTGCTGCGGGATTTAAGTAAATTAGATATCAGCTGCATAAACAAGGAAACTTCCTCTGAGGTTAATTATGTGTGGAAACACTAGCTGAAAGTTTGCATGTCACCTTAGAGACAGGGCTCTGAAGCAGAGAAGAAACAAAGAAAGGCCAGCTTTTCTGTCTGTAATATAGTAGTTCATGTCACCAACAATGCTACACCCTCTGCGCAGCTGCAGAGTCCTCTCCAACCATCCCATAAGCAGTGCAGTGAGATGGAATTCTGCATTCACCACTTGAGACAAAGACGGTCTTCATCTTCGATCCTCATACAAAGTACTCTTTTTCTTTCTTGCTAGATGTTTGGCCTTGTTGCAAGGCAACTGATGTCTCTGCCATACTCAGATGGGACTCTCTTATTGCTAAGAGCAAATCAAAGGGGAAAAAGCTTTGACCTCAAGTAAGAAGAAATAAGCCAATGCTCCTTTTTTCTTTTTGGCAATTTTTGAAAAAAAAATGTAGAATGGAGATGGTCATGTCATGAGGCAACTTTATTTGACCATAGAGGCTCTTCCAAGGATGTTTGTCACACAGAGGGTGTGCATCTTCACCACAGTTACCTACTTAGAGACATTCAGCTCTTGAATAGCATGAAAGGAGCCACAAATATTAAAGCAAGATTTGACCAGGACAAAAAAAAATGAGGAAATTGGCAAATGAAAAATTAAATTTAATTCTATAGATTAAATTAAAATCTGAATCTAATTAAACTTATTAAATACGGATAATGTTATTCTCATGCATCAAACACTTTTTGATTGATTGTGTACCTTTCCCTTAATGACAATGGCCACAGAGCAGAGGTACCTAAGAAAATAGTTTGTTAAATCTATGAAACATTGAAAGTGTTTCATATAACAAAGTATAACATTTAATTGCTCCATGGCCTAAGACTATGTTGTTCTCCTTGCTCATGGCAGCCCCTGCAAACAGGGTAGCCTGCTCTGCAGTGGTGGGTTTCAACCGGTGTTACCACCAGGGCCCAACTAACGGTCGGAACTGACAGTCGGTTCGCTCTCACCTCACCATCTCCACTACCAGCTCGAACTGGGGAGAACTGGTAGCAATCCACCATTGCTGCTCTGTCCACACACAAGAGTTTTGGTTACCAGGCTGCCTTTCACTAGTGGAGCTGTTGGCATTTCACTCATATAAGTCACTAAGCCAAACTGTCCTCTTTAGGTAAAGCTTTCTCTTAAGACTGGCTAACAGGAAGCAATAGGAATCTCACTCCCCCCATTCTCTCCTGGAAGAGCAGTGGTCTGATGCTCTATGGAGGGCTACCTCCAGAGAAGGAAAAGAGTGGCAAATTAGCACTCTTAAACAGGTTTGACCCTGCCTTGCAAAGTTCTAATAGAGCCTGGTACTGAGTTGCATCCCTCCCTCCATTCGTGGTGACATCATCTGGAAAATATGAATGAGAGAAATTACTCAAACAAGATAAAGTCATTTTGGACCCATGCATTTTGTTTTTATCATTCACAGTGTATTTAAACCACAGATGGTGAGCTTATGTATTCTAAGAGGCCACAGTGAAGGGCCGAGGAACAAGAGGATTTTTTCAAGCTGCACCTCTCTTCCATATAAGGAGTGCCATGCTCCATAGTTGACTTTCAAGAAGCAATTGGAGTTAAATAAGCAGTCAGCTTGGGTTCCCTGGTTTACACCATGCAAAAGGCAGAGTATATTTTAAAATACGTAAAATACATTCGTTGTCAGAGTGACTGTTATAATGCCTGCATAAAAATATCTATTACCTTCAAAAATAGCAGCCAAGATTCTTGTCCAAGATTCATCATATTTTAAATAACTAAATAATATATTTTTAAAAAATCTTGTCAAATTTTTCATATATCATGGTTGTGTCTCGGGTAATGTTAATTGCATTTGGAAGACAGAATATGTGATTATAGCTTGTGCCATTGATTCTACAGAGTAATTAGGAGGAAAAGAGGTAAAAACGTCTTGAAAAATGGTCCATTCTGCAAAGATCAGAACTTTCTGGAAAATAGCAAAGTATACATATACCAAAGATATCTACTAGAGTAAGCATATGCTTTAAGGTGGCTTCAAAACTCAGGTTGCAAGCATTTAGTTAATAAGGATCTGTTTCTATATTATATTTTCAGAGTAATTTTATTTAATTTATGCATAATGTAGGTAGATCAAAAACTTATTTTGAAGGATCAAAATAAATTCTTTGTGTTACGGCAGCAGGTTTAGTCCTTGAAATAATGACCTGTTTTTAACAAATTCATTTATAATAAAAAATAACCTCTTAAAGAGTTAGTATATTGCGCCCTCTTGTGGAGTAATGGAGCCTTGCATCTATTTCATCTCCAACCGCAAAAGGTATTTTCAGATAATCACCCACCTTTCAATCTGTGTACTCCCAAATCAACTCAGTCTTCATATTTCCATTCAGTGTGATTTACCACATGACCCTTTTGAACAAGTAAGTGCAGTGATATTCAGCATATTGTATTTCCTACAGCAGGTTGCTGAATCATTCAATTCCTAAAATTATGGATGAAGATGTTCATTTCAAATGAGTTAATTATTAATCATTATGCATTTCCAAGACCGTAAGTTGTACTCTTGTAAGTACTTAATGCTTGCTTTACTTTTATGCTTCAGAAATATTTAGTACTAAGTTACTTATTAGGAAGAAGTGTTTGGGGCCTATCCATTAACTCACTTTGATTATTCAGAACATACATTATTTATTTATTTATTGAATTTATACTGCCGCCTATTTGCCCAAGGCGACTCAAGGCAGTTTACAGAATATAAAACCACATTTAAAACAATAAAATCTAACAAAAAGAATCAAATAAATTAATATAGAGGGAACCATATGCTCTATTCCAAATAATTTTGCTAACTTTTTGTTGCAAAGCAGATTTTGAGCCTTTATCTAGTTTACATAGTTATCTTGAATATTTCACTTTTTTATCTTTTTTTTTTGCAATTTGTCATATTTTCTCTTTCTAAAGAGTGATTAATTAATTTATTAATCAAATTTATAATTGCTGCCCATCTCACAAAAAACACTTCTGGGTGGTGTACAACAATACAATAAATTGGTTTGTCAAGAACTAACTGCTGGGACGTTATAGAATTAAAAATGTTTTAATTAATTTCACATAGAAGACTTCACTTCCTTTCTAAATGGCAGAATAGTGGCATCTGTTGTAGATCGAACTAAAATATTTGTAAAAACATTCCTGAACATTTTCTTCATCAGTTTTTGTTTTCTTAAAATTCTGCACTATATTTTTATTCTATTTTTGAGAAAACATATTTGAATTGTCTAAATAACATAATCTTTGGCAAAAGAAGTTGGAGGCAAAAATTAAGATCTCTAGTTCTGCTCAAATGAGAGCATTAAATAAAGTGTAAAGATGGAAGCCAGAACTACGAAAATAATTCGGTGGGTTGTTCTTAGCTATATTTTATATATTACTCAGCAGGATTCAAGAATATATAGTAGCTGTATTTTCTTCATAGCCATATTTTCTTGAGTTGCAGGAAAGAGCAGAAAATACAGAAAAAAAATAAAGAATCAGAGTGGTATTCTTGAATTGTTTAGTTAAGAAGGTAGCTAAGATGCATGACTGGGTGTCCTGCCTTTCTCTGTCCTGTTCTTCCCTAGATCTCCATGCTTCGATTAAATCCCAAAACAAGACATCAGGAAGACAATGGGCTTCCACTGGACTTTTCAGGTTTCAATAGTAGTGTTGATTAAAGGGAAGAACAGGACTCCTCCTCTTGAGAAATTCTTGGAAAATTTATTCCTTGCTTAGAGAATATCATTTATCCAACTTTTGTGTCTATAATTCTGGAATTTTAAAAAGTTATTTATTGTTATTTGGCTGTAATTAAAAAAATTCTTGCTATCTATCAAATCTTTATTTCCCCTCTTATTTCATTAAGCACTGCCACTGAGAGTGGTTTTATTGTTTTCTGTTCCACTATTTCAGGAGAGAAAGGGAGTTAAGATATCCCTGATGCTACAAGAATTATTTAATAAAAAACGAACAGCAATGCTACTGATCTAGAATGTTGTAATGTGCTCTTGTAATTTTTTTAACTACTCAAGTGTCCGTCACAGTTGTGGATACATTTACCGTAAATATCTATAAAGGTAGTTCTTTAATAACCACACTTGGGGCTGGCCAGTTGGTTGTTAAGTGAAATAGTCACCAAGTGAAATCTTGACTGTTCTTATGATCTTACTTCAGCTTTCCTTTACTTTACAGACCTGCAAAGAATTATTTGTAAAATTATTTTTTCATTACCGTTATAACTACAAACAGTTGTAAATGAGGGACTGGTTAAAGGAGAACTATCTCAGTTCTGTTGGGTGAGAATGATAAGTTTTAGATACAAATGTTACATTCTAAAATGTCCCCATGTATTTCTCTGCTCCAGATAAATGGATGGGAATACATCTTGATAATTTCTAAATATTCCCTCTTGCTATCACCTACCACCAGGATGGGAGTAGTTCCTAAAGCCAATGTGCTGCATGTAGTCATCTAAAGTGCAAAGGCTCATGCATTCAGTTCCCAGTTGAGGGTTTGAACTCCATAGAATTTGGCAACTGCATCTAAAAAGTCCCAGTAAAGGAGGAAACTGATCACATGGTTCTTCCTGATGGTCAGTGTAACTGGGTAGCTTAGAATGATTTCTTTACAAGAAACCAGGGCTTGTGGGTCTCCATGGTGACAAAAACGCTATCTGATTCCCAACTAACACATGGGAGTTCGTAAATAATATGATAATACTGTCTTTCCTTGCAGGACTGTATGTACTGATAGGAGCAGGAGTGCTGATGATGGCAGTAGGATTTTTTGGATGCTGTGGAGCAGCACGAGAATCTCAGTGCCTGCTTGGAGCAGTAAGTAATGTATTGAAATCAATCTGCTGTACATTGGAAGAAAAAGGAAGGTGGATCGTGTAAAACTTTTGTCTAAATTCTATAACTTGGAGGTTCCTTTATTATCTACCCGTAATGACCCTTAAGTCCTAGTCAGGACATATTTCTATCTAAGTGGTTATAAGAATTCATGAAGCATTAATTTGCAATTCTGTATTCATTTATTAGAATGCAGCCTCTTTCAATGCAACTTAAACAGAATTCTATGTGTCCAATCACACTTGGCCAATAAAAAATTCTGTTTTATTCTATTGCAAAGGCTTTGGATATGTTGCAGTGTTAGAAATACTTCTTTGATATTTCTTTATCCCATCCTTTCCTTAAAGTTTGAAATTATTCTGATTTAAGGAAAGTTGAAGTAGAACCTTCCCTTTTGCATCATTAATCTTGTCCTATGTAAAGTATTTCTGTTATTAAAACCACTATTTCTAATTCCCAGAGAGTGGATTTTCATGTTGCATTCAAGTTTCCATAAAAGTTTAATCTGTAATCTTATCTTCATTCTTTTGTAGTTTTTTTCTTGCTTGTTGGTGATTTTTGCTGCTGAAATTGCTGCAGGGGTTTTTGCTTTTCTGGGCAAAAAAACGGTAAGTGAAATGCTTATTGTGTGCTACCCTAAATATCTTAAACTGAAAAATAGTTTCAAAGAGTAAAATCTCTTTAAAATTATGCACAACCCCATGTGATTTCATGGATGTGTCTTGGCAAATATACAGAAAGAGTTTTTATTGCTTTCTTTGGAGAACATTTTTCTTTACTTCCTAGACTAATTTACAGATCTGATATTTCCTAACTGCATATTCTGTTATTGGTGTGGCAATGTTTTTTATTGCCCAACCTGCCCAGACAATTTCCTTTTGTGTCCTACTAGCTATGCCCCATCCATCAATCATGTTGCACCCTAGCTGAAGCCTAGGGCTTGTCTTCTTGTGCTCCCAAAATGCTACCGGTTCAACCTTCAACATATCTATTTATGTAAATAGATAAAACTTTCTATTCTTAAAATTGACTGCAGCCCTCTCTGTTGTTACCACAATCTCAAGCGGTAGAACAACCAGAGAACTGGAGGAAAACCATGGGTTTCCTGTTACTGAAATTCTGCTGGTTTCTTCACTAACCTTCATATCTAATTAGGATATCTGCTTGTTGTGGTTGTTCTTTCTGCAGGCTGTCAACGAAGTCCAAGCTATCTATGAGAAAGCTTATGAAAACTACATCAGTGATCAAAGCAAAAACAAAACACTCATCAAATTTCATGATGCGGTAAGTAATATGAATTCAAAAATTTTGCTCACCAATGTTGCATTTAGATGGTTTCAGAATACCAGGATTAGACAATGAATCCAATGATTCAGTTTGCATAATGTTTGTATTTCCCCTTCTTCTGGAATTTTTATTCTTATTGAAATCAAGCAAGATTCTATCTGGCACCCAATTTCTCAGTCCTTCCTGTGTATTCTTAACTTACTATAATGGTCAGCAATCTCTCCAGGCTTTGGCATACACATTCTTCTAAACTTCCTAAATATGGAAATTCCCTCTGGAAGACTATGGTAAAGCATTGAAGTTTTATTAAATTACATGTAATATCTTGGAAGCATGTGGGCATCATTAGCAGAAAAGCATAGTAAGAATGCAGGCATAGAGGCTATATTTCCACCACCATTCTTTTAAAAAAATATTTATTATTTATTTATTTATTATATTTATTATGACTCTCTTGGTTTTTGCAAGACTACCTGTACCAGTATAGTCTGTTTTATGCATGACTATGGTGAGATAAAGCACTGGCACATGTATTTCTGACATCAGTTGCTAAGTTTACTTTTTCCTTAACAGGGCCTAGGTCTGTTGTGTGGTCTGTTGATTACAGTTTTTATAAAAGAAAAAAACCTAAATGCTTACTGTCTTTCCCCTCTGTGGAGAACTGCTAGATACAGTCTCCCAAATACTCTAATTGAGAGGGAAAGTGGAAACCTTTTCTCTGAAGTTTCTGCCTAGAGTGTTGCTAAGCATTAAAAATTTACTTCAGCATGTGCAATAGTCTATCCTCCATTTTGCATGTGTATAAAGAATTTTTTTTTAAAGTAGGCCACAAACAAACAACACCGCAATGAATTTGCTTCCAGATTTAGATTTGGAGTTGAGCTGTCTCCCTTATTATTAAAAGAAGGCTCAAATTCTTATTTTTAGCCATATTGTTACCGTGCGGTTACTTTATACCAGGCACATATGCACACACCTATATGAGAACCAGTGTAGTAGGGTAATTATGTGGCACTAGGAAGATTGGAGTTCAAGGCCATCCTCAGCATAGAAACTAAGGGCCAGTAATACACTCTCAGCAAAAGCTACCACACAGGTTATTGTTGTGCAGGTAAAATCTGGAATCGTCCAGATTTGACAAAATGTAAACAAAACAAACAAGGTAATACTGAGCAAAAAAATGAAAGGTGGTCTGATGGTCTGGAGCCTTGAGCTCCAGAGGGAAGAGGGGGTGGAATAGACAGAGAAGAGAGAGGAGAGAGAGAATAGGAGGGAGGAAGGGAGAGGGAGAGGGAGAGGGAGAGAGAGAGAGAGAGAGAGAGAGAGAGAGAGAGAGAGAGAGAGAGAGAGAGAGAGAGAGATCAAAGTTATAAGGCCACCCATCTCACAAGAAGTGAGATGTATGGGGTACAGCAGAAATATATTAAAATAATAAACATATTAAATGCAGTCATATTTTTTTAAAAAGAGCACATACAAAAGATTTGATCATTATTTTCAAGTCTATCCAATGCAAGGATTAATATAAGTAGAACTCTACCATGTTTCCCTGAAAATAAGGCCCTGTCATATATTTTTTTGAACCACAAAATAAGCGCTTGGCCTTATTTTCAGGGAGGTCTTATTATTTTGGGGTGCATGAAGGAAACCAGAGGAAATGGTGGGGACCGGCTGCTCATGCATTTAAATATTTTTTGGGAGGGCTTATTTTCAGGGGGGGATTATTTTAGTGCATGCGCTCAAAAACCTGATTGGGCTTATTATCAGGGGATGTCTTGTTTTAGGGGAAACAAGGTAAGTATTTATTTGAGTCTTAAATATGTGTCTTTTTTTACACCCAGTGAATCATTTATCCTGTCAGTTGATCTATGCCTCATTTCCTTGGTAGGTTTTCAGTCTGATTAACCACTGAAGCAGCTATAATACCAAGTTTAGAATAACTTCTTACCACACATGTGGCCATTTATTGATCCTTCTTAGTTAGTTGTGGTAAGTGTGTAAATCCATGGCAGAGGGCAAGACTTAGAGAAGGCTCAAGAGAGCCCACAGTTTGTTTCTTTTGTATGCTTGGCTGAGCCTGAGTTCTTAAGAGACTTTGTTAGAAACTGAACTTAAGCCAATCCAACCTGATTCTACTGCATACTACTGGAGTGCCATTTAGCAGCTAATATTCGGGAAGAAACACAAATTCCTTTAGTTCCAGTGCCATAAGATTTAAAATAACATGTTGCTTTGCCACAGCGATATATGGACAGCAGGTTAATGGATTCAAAAACTACAGACCCACAAATGAGATAGAAGCTGACATGGGGATTTTTTTGGATAAAATACAGTAGACCAAAAGAATAACTTTAACTGCAAAGTTGAATATACATGAAATATTCAGAGATAAAGCAATAAACCAAGAAACAGTAACATTCAATAGAAGAATGTGAATATAGAAATTCATGTTCCTTCAGCTTTTGGGAGTCCGTCCTTATCACAGGCAATACTTAATGTCCCTCTAATACATTGGCTAGTGTATAGCACATTTCCTGGCAGGCCTGTGTTGAAAGTCATCCCTGTACTTTGAAAAGTTTTTGATTGTTTATACATACCATTCCTCTGTTAGCTATCAATAGTTTATACAAGGTGCTGGTAGCTCATGCTTCAAACACTACCAGAAGTGGCTGAATCTCAAATTAGAAAAGCTGTTTTAAAAAGAAGAGATGTCCCTCTTGAGACAGCTACATCAGAAATGAGAAACAACTGGAGGCAGGGGGATTGAAGTGGGAATCTTATCAGCTTGCTTCAGTGGTGGGATTCAAAAATTTTTACTACCGGTTCTGTGGACGTGGCATGGCTTGGTGGGCGTGGCAGGGGAAGGATACTGTAAAATCTCCATTCCCCCCCCCCCACACACACACACTCCAGGGGAAAGTTACTGCAAAAACCCCATTTCCTCCCGATCAGCTGGGACTCGGGAGGTAGAGAATAGATGGGGCGGGGGCAGTCAGAGGTGGTATTTACAGGTTCTCCGAACTACTCAAAATTTCCGCTACCGGTTCCCCAGAACTGGTCAGAACCTGTTGAATACCACCTCTGGCTTGCTTTTTAAAATCTGTAGTCTTATGGAGAAGCAAATCAACGTTCACAATATCAATAGAAATCTAGAGGACATATTTATTTATTTATTTATTTATTTATTTATTTATTTATTTATTTATTTTGTCAAACATGTATGAGATAACAGGAATAAGTATAAACATGGATATTAATACAAGAAATGAGTACAAATAAATGGGGACAGTAGGACAGGGACGGAAGGCACGCTGGTGCGCTTATGCACACCCCTTACAGACCTCTTAGGAATGGGGTGAGGTCAACAGTAGACAATTTAAGGTTAAAGTTAGGGGGGGTTGAGGATGTAACAACAGAGTCAGGTAGTGCATTCCAGGCATTATATGACTGTTGAAAGGACTTCCAGGAAAGGGCACAACTGGCACTCCAGATGAAGCTGTGCAAAGGTTTTCCTGGTCATAGCTGCCACTTACTCAAAAAGTAGGAGCTATGAGTGCTGGAGGATCCCCTGAATTGCGCACAGCTCTTGAATGGAGAATTGCTATCCTATCCAAGGTTAAAGATGGAATATCTCCAGACCTAGGCAGCTCTAATATCCATAATCACACTGACTTGTTTGAAGTTGATTCCTTTGCATCCATAAATTGGATTGACCTTCTTAATACATGTTATAGTTTGCAATAAGTATGAATTCTGAATAATATCATTGGGATAAACATATTTTGGGTTTTTTGAATCATTTGAAAATGTTTATTTCGGGAAGATTTGTAATATATTATCTCTCTCCCTCCCTCCAGCTTCAATGCTGTGGGAAAGACAGTGACGTTCAAGTAAAACCCACCTGTCCAAAAGATACTGGACCGTCTAAAGTAAGTGCCTCTCTTCTGTCATGTCATTCTGACAGTGAAGTCAAAAATAGCCTAGGAATGGGATAAGACATGGTGGGAATATCATCCCTGGAGCCAGAGGAGATGATCTGGACAGGAGCCATTTGGCACCAAAGTAGGATGCCAGCAAGATGACTTCTAAGCAATTTGTTTGCTTTGCCAATTATACACACATTCATATATCTGAAGAAGACTGCAAAATAAAGCAAGCAGTATTTATTGCAGCCAACTTGCTTCTTCGGCCCTTCCAATGTGCTTGCAACCTCCTGGGATGTCAGAACTGGTCATTACCATTTCCTGGTTTCCATAAAATGAAACATCTTAGCAGAATTTTTTTTTTTAATTTACTTGTCATACCAGTGAAACTTTCCTTCCATAACAAATAGCAGTGTGGATGAATTATCCTCATCAAGTTCATAATGCAGAAGAAAAGATTAACGTCCCCAGTGTGATCATTTATATTGTTTATTTATTGTTTATTGGTTCGATTTATATGCCGCCCTTTTCCAGAGACTCAGGGTGGCTTACAATGCGTTAAGCAATAGCCTTCATACTTTTGTATGCTTAGTAGGGCTTTCGGGGGCCCCCAACCAGTGTTCTTTTTTATACAAAGTCAGCTTATTGCCCCCACAAACCGGGTCCTCATTTTACCTACCTCGAAAGGATGGAAGGCTGAGTCAACCTTGAGCCTGGTGAGATTTGAAATTGCAATAATTGCAGGCAGCTGGTGTTACTTAACAGTGCTTTAGTCTGCTGTGCCACCAAGGCTCCTTTAATTTGTGGTTTAATTTTTTTAAAAAGAAAATAATTACATACCTTCTATTGTTTGGTTAATACAGACATGTACTAGTCCTCGACATACAGGTAGTCTCCACTTACAACCACAACTGAACCCAACATTTCTGTTCATAAGGGTTTCTTGCCTTCTGCCTTGAAAGAGGCGGTGGTGAGGCCCCCTCCTCAAGAAGCCCTCTCTGGACCCAGCTATTCTAGCAAACTACCATCCTGTCTCCAACCTTCGCTTTGTGGTGAAGGTTGTTGAGAGTGTGGTGGCACAGCAACTCCCGCAGTACCTGGATGAAACTGTCTACTTAGATCCATTCCAGTCCGGCTTCAAGCCTGGTTACAGCACTGAAACGGCATTGGTCGCATTGGTTGATGATCTCTGGAGAGCTCGAGATAGGGTTGCTCCTCTATCCTGGTTCTATTAGATCTCTCAGCGGCTTTTGACACCATTGACCATGGTATCTTGCTGCGCCGGCTGGAGGGGCTGGGAGTGGGAGGAACTGTTCTACGGTGGTTCTCTTCCTATCTCTCTGACCGGTCGCAGTCTGTGTTGGCAGGAGGGCAGAGGTCAACTTCAAGGCACCTTATTTGTGGGGTGCCGCAGGGGTTGGTCCTCTTACCTCTTCTGTTCAACGTTTATGTGAAGCCGCTGGGTGAGCTCATCCATGGTTTTGGGGTGCAGTGCCATCTTTACGCTGATGATACTCAGCTGTACATCTCCACCCCAGACCACCCCAGTGATGCCCTTGCAGTGATGTCCCGATGCCTCAAAGCCGTGCGGATCTGGATGGGGAGAAACAGGCTCCGACTCAACCCTTCCAAGACCGAGTGGCTGTGGCTGCCGGCATCCCGATATAGCCAGCTGATACCATCGCTGACTATTGGGGGCGAGTCATTGGCCCTCACGGAGAGGGCTCGCAACTTAGGTGTCCTCCTGGACACGCGGCTGTCTTTAGAAGAGCATATGACAGCCATGGCCAGGGGAGCTTTCTATCAGGTTCGCTTGATTCGCCAGTTGCGACCCTTTCTAGATCGTGACTCCTTACGCACAGTCACTCATGCCCTCATCACTTCCCGTCTGGACTACTGTAATGCTCTCTACATGGGGCTCCCCTTGAGGTGCACGCGGAGGCTCCAACTGGACCAGAATGCAGCTGCGCGGGTGATATTGGGAGCGACATGGTGCTCACATGTAACACCTCTCCTACGCGAGCTGCACTGGCTCCCGGTGGTCTTCCGAGTGCTCTTCAAGGTGTTGGTTCTTACCTTTAAAGTGCTCCATGGCTTAGGACCTGGGTACTTACGAGAACCTCCCACCAACCAGTACGCTCCCACAGGGTGGGCCTCCTCAGGGTGCCGTCACTAAAGCAATGTCGCCTGGTGGTTCCCAGAGAAAGAGCCTTTTCTGTGGGGGCACCTACCCTTTGGAACAGGTTACCCCCAGGGATACGAATTATCCCAGATCTTCGTACTTTCCATCGTGCACTTAAGACCTTTCTATTTCACCAAGCCGGACTGGCATAAATCCCTTCTAATTGTTCTAAATCTTTATGCTGAAGATTCTTAACCGATGAACCAAATTGGTTTAATCATCTTATATTCACATTTTATATGTATGTTTTTTTAACTGTTCACCGCCCTGAGTCCTTCGAGAGAAGGGTGGTATAAAAATTGAATGAATGAATGAATGAATGAATGAATGAATGAATGAATGAATGAATGAATGAATGAATAAATAAATAAATAAATAAATAAATAAATAAATAAATAAATAAATAAGTGAGACAGCGGTTAAGTAAGTTTTGATCCATTTTATAACCTTTCCTGCCACAGTTGTTAAGTGAATCACTGCAGCTGTTAAATTAGTAACATGGTTCTTAAGTGAATCTGGTTTCCCCATATGAGTCAGTTGCCAAGTGTCTGAATTTTGATCACATGACTATGGGGACGCTGCAAAGGTCATAAGTGTGAAAAATGGTCAAAAATCACTTTTTCCAATGCCTTTGCAACTTCAAATGGTCACTAAATGAACTGTTGTAAGTCAAGCACTACTTGTACATGCAAGGATGCCTATATTATTCATGCAGCTTGCTGGATTAAAAGACCTTGTTGATTCCTTCACCCTTACTGACTGGCTTCTTGAGAGGTTTAGCTTAATCTGATTTCTGCTCCTGAGCCAAAATTTCCGGTTGACCTTCCCTTAGAGACCAGTTAGAGCTGGGGCCAAATTGAACTATATGGCAGACCTAATCAAATGAACTTAATTTTGGTTATGTGAACTTTCATACTAGTTCAGACAAGATAAACCAGACAAACATATAGTTGACAGTCTAATTTTATTTTCTGTGAAAATAGAATTAAGTTATGTGAATGTCATACATAATTCAGTTCAGTTCCTCTTCACTGATTTTCCTGCCTGCAAAAATAGCTTGTCCATGCATACTACCCCACGTTGTGATGCGGTGCAATTCTGTATTCCAGTATTTTTATTCATAAACTGACTCTATGTGTAGGCCTGGAAAATCGCATTGTATAACTAGAGAGGCAGAAATCCAGGAAAAGAAGAGAATGAATTTGTAGGCATCTGCAGGGAAGGCAAATGAGGAAGCTTGCATTAAAAACATAAGAGGCACAGCTTGCATCCTGACATTGTGATAGTTGTTGTGTCATTCTGATAAAACCATCATATTCTGCAGATGCCCATGTATACAACTATTTCAATGATTCAAGGCTGCTTTGCTATATTGATAAGAGGAACACAGCACAGTTAAACAAGAGCCATCTTGTTATAAATCTTTTTTTTTAAATTAAAGATTTTACAAAAGAATAAAAAATAATAAACAGTAAGATATTTTAAAAATAAAAAATATACAAAAAGTATGAAATACAAATAATATATATATAAAGAAATGACTTCTAATTTTCTTTACAGCAGTGACGAACAAATTTATTATCTCTCCTCCCTCATTAAAATTAGTTCATTTTCCCTTCTTCCCATATTCAACCATTTTTAATCAACAAATCAATGTCACCAGTTCTTTTTTTTTCATTTTCAGTAAAAAGTGCATAAGAGGTTTCCATCTTTATTAAAAGTATTTATTATCTTATCACTGATCAAACAGGTCAATTTTACCATTTCTACAAATTCCATCTTTCTAAACTGAAAAATCCTTACATTAAACCAGCTTTTGGATATAGTCTTCACAAACTGCATTGATTTAAATAAAGAGTATATGTTTAATGAAATTATACATGATGTGAGGACCAAGTATTTCCATAGACTAGGAGAATGGCATGAGATCCTGACCAGACAAAACTGCAAAGTATTTATGATTCTATACAAATTCAAATGTCTTGCAGTTGTGTTTGGGAAAACGTGCATCTTTTAAAATGAATCCCTTCTCCTATATTTGGCAGTTCAGGGTTTGCATTGCAGCTATAGCAAAGGCAATGAAGGAAGGATGGAACGGAAGATACAGCCAGAAACAATTATGGCTGTTTCCAGGACACTGCTGAAATTATTATTCTTAGCAAAATATAGAAGAAATTGGAGTAGAACCGATGTTCTAGCATCCCTTTGAATCAGAGAAAGGAAAATAAGAAAAGGAGATAATAAGGTGCTGGATTAAAAAAAACCATATCTGCCAGAGATAGCGGTGGTTGTCGAGAATTCATATTAGTAGATTTAGGAAAGGACTGAAGACTTTAATGTCTTTCATGTTTTGAACAGAACTGTCTGACTGAAATAGAGAGTCTCGTTAATTCAAATCTTCATTTACTTGGCATTGTGGGGATTGCAATTGCTGGAATCACAGTAAGTAATTCTGATTACATTGACAACAACAACATTGTATTTACACAAACCTGAAATATTTCAAGCCACTGAAATGATAGCAGATTACTAAAGAGAACAGAGAATCACTGTAAGTGTTCCTTGCATGAACCTCAGCTGGCATGTTGATTGGGGGAATTCAGGGGGATGAAGTCCACACATCTTAAAATTGCTGAGGTTGAAAAATATGCTCTAGAAGCTATGCAAGATGTAAGATTCCTTGTCCACTGTAGTCACAATACCATCACCAAATTATGACTTGGGGGCCAAACAACAAACTCTTCAACATATAGTGTCAGAGTGCCAAAATAGAATCAATAATGAGACTGTTGATTTTCTGGCTGTGAAAAATGAAGCAAAAAATTATATCTGTAATCTAGATATACAGTATGCTTATAGTATTTTAGATCTTTTTTCATATTTTGTATTTTTATCCCTTGTGTTTTTATCAAAATATGATGTGAATGTGCCATATAATAAATTAAAATATGCAATCCTGCTCCTTCTCTATAAATGGCATGTTTTAGGGGGAAAATATAGATGTTAATTGCTCCCACACAACCAAGACCAGGATCTTGGAAGTAAAAGGGCTTTCTTCGAAGTTTAATCTTCCATATTTATAGCACTTCATTATTTCATGTATTTAATCATATTTATATGGCTGCTCACCACAAAGTAAGTGACTCTTGGTGGTATACAAAAAAACACCTAAAAACAATATAAACGAACAAGTTTTATTATGCATAATAACAGTAATAATAATCACTTTAAAATTGTAAAATGCACAACATTAAAAAATAAATATATATTTTAACTTCTTTTAGCTGTTAAATTTAAAATAAACAATCACCTATTTTATCTATCTATCTATGTAGGTAGGTAGGTAGGTAGGTTCTGAGATAGGGATGTTAGATCAGGCATTAAAGCAAAATCCCTAGTAGCACTGATGATGTTATCTAGTTTGGTAATAAAATGTCTGCAACAAAACAACCAAGCTCACAGAGCACCAAGAACCCACAGAGTTTTATTTGCCAGTCAGAATAATTCACATGCGCCTGGCTGGGAACATAATAGTAATAAAATAGAATCAGTTAGATACCTGGAGATTTGATATTTTTTTTCCTGAAAAGTAAGGAGAAAAAAACCTTTACAAAATACTTGATATCATACTGTGATCTTGAAGTATCCAAAATGTCTAGTGAACAGAGAACCATTCCAAAGAACAATCACTCAAATTCTCTGAAGTATTGCTCATATGTGACAAATGTTGCATCCTTTAAAATAATGCTCTCATTTTTCAGATCTTTGGCATGATCTTCAGCATGGTCCTTTGTTGTGCGATCCGAAACACAAGAGACATGCTTTAGAACACTTCCTGTCCCACATTATTTTGAATCCAGGACTGAAGGAAAAGCTGCAACACAGTTCTGAAGAAGTGCTTGCCCACTCAACTTAACAACTGTAATCCATTTTTTAATTAGGTGTTAATCAACTGACAGAAAAGGGGAGTGTTTGGTGAGTTCAAGAGTTTCCTGTGATTGCATTTAAAATTTTAAAACAATTATGACATGAGCAAGTAAGATAGGCTAACAATGCCTTTTCAAGGCCAACAGTGACATCTAAAACTAAAATTTATTTGAAGTATGACTTTGCACAGTTATAGAGGAATAGGCCCTGTATGTATGTGTGCTTGTTTTGGTGCAGATGCACTTATAGCTGTATATACAGTCCCTTTGATTGTATGTATGTTTTGTGAGTGTCTCTATCTGCATGCATAGTTCTGCATTATATATATTATGCATGCACATGTGTGTGTATACACACACACACATACACACACACGGATACATTTCTTGATAAAAAGATTTTCATAATGGAGTCCTCTTTACTAATCATTTTTGGAGAAGCAAATTCCTGTAGGAAAATGAGTACTCTGTCCTATCTTCTTTCAGTCTTTGGAATGTCCCATTTAAGATAATGTCAAGCGGGAAAGACCAGGACCACATGTGAAGTTGCAATTAAAGTTATCTATTAGTACTCTTGCCTGTGCACAGGAATCTACTCAACTAATGGTTAGCACTGTTCTGGCCTTAGATAAGGATCAAAGGAAGTCAAAAGGGTTGCACTTAGTCCATTTGTGGGTACGTAGAGACTCAAGGCTGATTCCTCTTTTGACTGTGTCCCCAAGTTCTGCCACTCCTCCGGATAACTATATTTAAAGAAATGAGTTCTGCTTCTAGGCAGCTCTCCCCTTGGAAGATTGTGTGTGTGTGTGATTTATATATTTATTTATATGCAGAATTGTTTATATGATAGAGATTGATGGGGAACTCACTGGCCTTTTTAAAGAAAAGCAGAGCAAAACCCAAGAACTAGTACCAAACAAGCAGAGAGCAGTTAAAGCTTTCAGTTCAAAACAAACTTTCATTGCGACTGAGACATCCTGTCCAATCATGATTTTATGTAGGATCTATTTAAAACATGTCCAGGTACTTCAGTGAGGAACTTAATTTCACTCAAAAAACTGTTCCTTGCTTGGGTTTTTTTTCCAAATGCTATTTAGTATTTATTGTCCTAATTATTTTTAATATGGACCAAAAAGCCTTACTGTAGCATAATCTAAAATTGATGCCCAAATTATTTTACACAGTTACTATGATGATTACTCAGTCCCTAAATGCACACCATATCCCAATGGCCATTTCATGCCATTGTAACATATCCCGTAAAGTATGTTGATACAAAATCAATTCCTGTTCATTGGGACTTGCTTTTTCATTAGTGCCCATAGAAATGCAGCTTATTTATTTGCTGCAAGGACCATAATAACCATAATGCTGTTTGCAACCTTTTATTTGTTATAACAATTGCATGCTGGCTTTACACAATAGGGAACACACCTAATATACAAATGATATTTATCATTATTTTCATGTTCCAGTCAAAATTAACCATGTACTTTCATTGAAATCAATACTTTTCAAGCTTAGGTAAAAATTAACTCCATTTGTGTATGTATATTTGTGTGTTTAAAAGAAATGTTCTTAAAATAGCATGTCCATCCACAAATATGCAAGGCAGCTGTGTAGCATTTTGAAGCTCAAAGCAAACTTCAAAAGCATGAGACAAGTACTTCAGTACTTCAGGATTATGTGTATAGGAGAATACAGACAGTCCCTGAAGACCCTGAACAAATGTTCAGCATTACATTTAAAAATAAAGAGGAGGAAGAATTGTCATTAATGATGTCAAGAACAATAACCAGTAATGGTGACAGTTAGGCAACCATCCCAGGCACAGAATTTATACCAGGCTTCACACTTCAGTTGTTTGAACTGTGGGCACTAATACAGTACATTTGGGACGAAGGAGAAAGCTTATATTGAAAGATGAGAAATTCTACGTGTTTAAAGTTGCCCTACATCCTTTACCTAAAAAAGTGATATCAGACAAATTAACCTTCAGATTTCAGTCTTTTGCTTTATCTATGTTCTCAGACTGCTAGAAGTCAGTGCAGCCAATTAATGTTCAAAGAAAAGCTATTTGTTCCTGCCAGAAACGTGTACAGCACATGCCAAAACCTAAGGTCATAAAATTAAAAGCCTGTCTTTGGTTTCTGGCTATAGAACTAAAATTAAAACATTGAGAGGTGAGCAGTTCTACTTTAATACACTCCATTTTTATTATCTCTAAAAATTACTGCATGTTATTTTAACGACATCAAACTTTTATCTATTTAAAACTGGATAAATGCAGAAATGATATAATACTCTTAAAATACCTCAGGGCTAAGCTGAGTTTACAAATTATAACTGTGCTTTGTATTGTTTATATTTATTTCTACTAAATTATATTAAAAATAATTTTGCAAAATTAAGCTAGACAGAGGAAAATCATTGTGGTGCAGTCTTAATATACTGTATTACAATCAATGGGGTTCTACCACTGACTTACATGGAAAGTGCATGGTGGGAACTTTTAAATGGCCCTTTCCTGACAAGCTATAATTTTAGGAATCAGAACCAAGCAATAATTCAGTCTCTCTTTTTATTCAGTTGTTTAATTTCCTTTTAAAAAGTTCTTTAATTTCCTTTTAAATTTCCTTTTAAATAGATAGGCCATCTAAAACCATGTGTTAGGAAATTTTCAGTTGTTAATAAAACTTAATTACATTATATGTTTCATGCACATTTTTCATCAAAATACATTCAAAGCATATATGATTTTATGGGAAGCCTTTTTACTGAGGTCTTCATTTGAAATTCAGTGTGCTGAGAACTCTACTTAGGCGTCAGGAAGGGCATCCGGCCAGTAAATGCTCAGCTCCATCCAATTGCCTGACTCTACCCCGAATTAAGATATCACAGGGTTGTAAAAAGGGAATTACTCATGTGTGTGTGTGTGTGTGTGTGTGTGTGTGTACATCAAAGAGAGAAAGGGACAAGTGCCCCAAGTTGTGTGAGTTGTTCCCTGCTTTCCCTCAATCTTTTTCTGTATGTATACCCCATTTCTCCAACAAATTTCAATTAACTCTACTGCTTGGCCCAGATAAATTATTTGAACCCATTAGAAAATAACTCAAGTGATAGGGGATATACCTAAGGAAAAGGTATCAAATGCCTAATTCACCAACTGCCCTTGAGACCAATTGGATACTGGCAGCTCCTGAGGTCCAGGTGAGAGTCTCTTAATGGAGAAGACATTACTAGAGATCTGAGTAACTAAATGGACTGTCTGGTTATTTAGGAAGCTGTTTCATCAGTTCTGCAATTAGTTCTTACCAGGAATTTGCAGTTTAACAGAAATAGAAATAAATATGTAACAATTTTTAACTTTAAAAATGTCTTTGGTATGAACTGTCATAAGATTAAGACTCTGGAATCAATTTCTGCTAACTTTTTTATTTGAAAATGATTTCTTGAAAATGGAAGGACTTAAAATGGAACCTGCTTTAGTGATTTCCCCATAAAGTTAGTTTTTTGTTTTTTTAATACAGGTAGTCCTAGTCTTACAGCAGTTCATTTAGTGGCCATTCGAAGTTACAACAGCACTGAAAAAAGTACGTTATGACAATTTTTCACACTTATGACTGTTGTAGCATCCCCATGGTCACGTGGTGGCAATTGACTCACGTTGCAGTGTCCCGGGGTCATGTGATTTTTGTGACCTTCTGACAAGCAAAGTCAATGGGGAAACCAGATTCACTTAACAACCATGTTGCTAACTTAACAAGTGCAGTGGTTCACTTAACAACTGTGACAAGAAGGGTCGTAAAATGAGGCAAATTCACTTAACAAATGTCTCACTTAGCAACAGTAATGTTGGGCTCAATTGTGGTCATAAGTCGGGGACTACCTGTATAATGTCCTTAAGAATAGACCATCTCTTCCATTATTATGCCAGCCATTCTCAAATGAGATCAGAATCAATCTAAAAATGGAAATAGGGTGTGAAAACATTGGAAAAATCAGTAATTTCTCTGTAGAGATCACCCTGTCCTACAATCCTCAGCTCTGCTTTGTCCCGTCCCCCCCCCACTTTCTGTTTGCCATCCTGTGTTTCATTCAGACTGAGGGCTCATTCAGCCAAATCACACATCAGCATATGGCAATGTTGTTGCAATGTTGTTACTGTCCCATCCTGTGTTCCAGCTTTCAGAAGTCTTTGGGAAGTCTTTGCTTCATGTCAGTCCATGTAACTGGTATGGATAAGTTTGGGAAATTCTTTGGGAAAGACTTTGAGAAATCTTCTGTGCTCCAAATATTCCACATCAGGAGAAGAAGACAAATTCTATTTAATCTGTGGTCCTGTTTTTCATTGTTATTGTTTTTCTCTTCTCAATTGCGTTTTAGAAGAGATGGGAGAACTGTTGCTGTAAATACCAAAAAATTCTGGTAGTTGCATTTTTATGCTGGGAAACTCTGAGCTAGATAACATCATCAGTGCTAGTGATGGCAGTGATGATGTTACCTAATTCGGATAATGAAACGTATGCAAGAAAACAAGCAAGCTCATAGAGCACCAAGGACGCCTCATGTGAACCCTGAACTACAAATATTCTCCTTTATTATGCTGGGAAAGTACACCAACTACCTGTACTAGCCCAAAAATAGTAATATTGAACAAGTACCTGGTCATAAATGGTTCCAAATTGTCTGCTGGTGACCATTTGTGGTTTTTATGAAATGACTGCCCTTAGACCTCTTTACTGAACAATGCTGATAAATTAGCTATGGCTTAAACATCAGGATGGGAAGACAGGGAGGGGAATATGATAGCTATGAAGATGGATTGGAAAACACATGCACTGTCTGGTAATGGAAAACAGCAGCAGAGACCTTCCTCCATACATACATGCCATTGCTTTTTAAGAAGAAAAAAATGTATTGGAGTGCTGACAAATTTTGCTGTTGCACTCATGTTATTGGAGAAACCAGTCTTGCTTCCCAAATGTTACCCATTATTGCTTGGCTGCTTCTTTATCTTTAAGTGCCTTTTGAGAAACAGGACAGAACACCAATTCTATAAATAGAATTTTGAAATTAAAATCAAACTTATTGACGTGAGTTCCCATCGCCTTGCTTGCATCACACTGTCTTTATTTTTATGGGTATAATTGTTAACACTTGTCTTAAGATCATCTACTCCTAAAAATAATGAAAGAATGTGTGTTTGACATGCAAGTCAGAATTAAATATATTCTTTATGTGTCAAAAAAAAATCTTAGCAGTGCCTTTAAAAACACCATGGCTCTATTCTCCAGATCTTACAATTTCCAGTGTCATTTTGGTTGGGGAGTCCCTTATATTGAATTACATCTCCAAAACATCATATCTTGAATGTTAGGAGGGATTAATTCTTGGGCTACGTTTTTTTTCTATGGTATGTAAATTATGTATCTATGCTATTGGCATTTAAATTTTCTGAATTGTTTCATTGAGAAGACCAAGTCAGACATGCTAAGAATGGCCCATAACCATGAGAACTAGCCCACAGCTTCTTTTCCAGGTTTATGTGATACAGTATAAACTATTCCTGATAATTCACCACTGAGGCACATGGATGCCGTTTTGATTTTTGTAAGGTACATGCATCCTTTCAATTATGCTATTGCCTCATTGACTGAAATTTGACATTCTCCTTTTTATGTCAGCTGTGCTAAGGAATACAGTCTTTTTGTATCATTCTAACAAATGATCACCATAAATATACTAGAGGCAGCAGTTTTAGAAAGATGTGGAGCTTGTAGGGTTACATTCTCCAAAGGTCTTCAAGAAAAAAACAGCACTTATTATACCTACACCTATAGATATGCAGGCTACCTCAGCACTATGACACTGCAAATGTGTAAAGCAGTGCCTTATTATAGGAGAAAAAGCAAATAAACTGAAGAGCCTTTAAAAAGCACTTATTAAACCTTCTTTTGAACAGCAGCTTGTCCTAGTTTTGTTCTTTATAAAGCCATGGGCACCTTATGCATCTAATAGATGCTCTGTCCTGCTTGATGCAAATTCTCAGTAACTCTGGGAATTATTATACTGAGTTCCAGACCTTTCACTGTCTTTAGGGAGTAGTGGATTATATCTGCTGGAAAACTGGGTTTCATTCTTCCCAGCAATTATGCATGGATCAAGCACGACCAGAAAGATACAGCATCTGAAGATAGCTGTATGCTTACTCTGCAGATTCCCTTTGTGGAATCCATTATTTTATTTAATAATACATTACTTTCTATTGCAGTAATTGTACATAACTAGAATTTTCATTGAAATGTGTATTTTGGAATTTGTGCAAAAGACTTCATTAATTCTCCAAATGTTGATAGAAATGTAAATAAACATACTCCTCCTTCCTGATGTTTTTGCTATCTGGCAGCATCATGCATCAAACTGTTTTCATGGGGAACTAAGCATCTTTCCCATGTAATCATTGTGTAAATGTTATTAGCAATTGATGTTATTGAAACATATTCTGTTTTCTTAATGCATTTTTATCACTGTTTCTCTACTGAAGTTGATGCAAAAATCTAATAAAAATAATCTGAATGAAAAGTAATGAGTGGGGGTATTTGTTAGCTTACTTTATAAGATGTGTCACATGTGCAGTTTCCTTTCTCCGATATATCCACTGTATTCTGCAATAAAAGATAATATTCTGGGGATGAAAGAAGATAGAAATAGAAATAGCACTTAGGCTTATATACTGCCCTACTCGTTGAGCAGTTTACAATGCCAGGATATTGTCTTCAATAGTCTGGTTCCTCATTTTACTGACCTCAGAAGGATAGAAGGCTGAGTCAACCTTGAACTTGTTAGGACTGAACTCCAGTCTGTGGGCAGAGTTAGCCTGCAATACTTTATTCTTAACTACTGCACCACCAGGATATAAGATTACCATATTTTTCAGACTATAAGATGCACGGTGTATAAGACGCACCAAGATTTTGAAAAGGTAAGCAAGACAAAAAAGTTTTTGCCCTCCCCAGCCCCCAGGAGCACTCTGCAGGCCTCCCAAACCCTCTGCGCATTCCGTTTTTTGCAAAAAAAACGGGCCCATTTTTGGGGCTTCGGGGCTTCAGGAGGCCAAAAATGGCTGTATTCGGTGTATAAGATGCACCAACATTTCCACCCTCATTGGGCGGGGAGTGCGTTTTATACTCCGAAAAGTATGGTATATCCTAAGATATAATGTGCTGTGCTAAAAAGTTATGGAAGACCAGATGTGTTATAAATATCTTTTTTGGGGGAAACAGGGTATATATTGTTTGGTATCAACCTGTCCCTCTATTAAGATCAGAAATAATTATTCTTTTATCTTGCCTTGCTTATAAGAAGGCAAAAAATTCTGTTTGCTGTTATCTACAGTACCATTAAAAACACCTAAGTTAAAAGAAGAAAATGAATCTTTTCTACAACTCTATACTTATAGAATTTCTTGTTAAATGGAGCTTGGTAGACCACCCAACTGCTCGTTTTAAGCTACCCATAAATATTCTATCCAGATACTGAAGAAAACAACACCCCTAACTCAGGGCAAGCTACTGTATATAAACAGCAAACTCCCTTCTAGCATTGAAGACATTACCAGGTTAGGTAGTGAAACATCTGCAAGCAAATAACCAAGCTCACAGAGCACCAAGGACTTCACAGTTCAGCCAGCCCTGAGCTAAATATATTTTCTATTTATTTATTTATCAAATTTATTCTTCATCCATCTCATGGTTTGACTCCAAGAGGCTTACATCAAGATAAAACAAGCATTTAGTGATTATAATTATAAAAATGGATTAAAATTACAAAAATTAAAACAAGCTAAAATACAAGGGTTTGGAGGAAAGAGGTGGGGTGCCTTCTCTGTTAGTATATCAACCATCTCTAGCCAGGGACCTCATGCCAATTGGCATAGCCAGATTTTAAAGCTTTTCCTGAAATCTAAAAGGAGGGAGGTAGAACTCTCCTCCTGCGGCAAGATGGTCCAAAGGACAGAAGAAAAGGCTTTTCTCCTGGATCCCACCAGCCGAAATTCCTTGGCTGATAGGATCCGCAGTCAGCATGACCTCTTCTGTCAGCATGAGTGGAGTGTACCAATCCCATTGAGGAAAGATGATTTCACAGATATCCTGGACCCATGCCATAAAGGCCTTTAAAGCAGGGGTGAAATGCTACCAGTTCAGACTGGTTCAGACGAACTGGTAGTAAAAAAAATGCTATCGATTTGGACAAACCAGTATTTCCAACGATCAGCTGTGCCGCGCAATTTATATTCACTAGAAAGCAGGAAAGCCTGCTTTCTAGCGAATCTAAATCGTGCGGCACAGCTGTTTCCCCCCCTCCCCGCTGTTCTACTTACCTTAGAAAAGGCTTCTTAAGCCTCCTTTTTCAATGCTGCATGTGCCTGTGGTGCACATATGCATGAAGTGCATGTTTGGCACACACTGTGCATGCACGTGCAAAGCATGTGTTTGACACGTACCATGCATGCATGCACACAGAGTACCGATAGCGAAGTGAACTGATAGCAGACCTTGGAGCATTTCACCCCTGCTTTAAAGGTAATAACCAATACCTTTAATTCTACTCAGAAGCAGATTGATATCCAGTGCAGCTTGCATAACAGTGGTGTTACATGCGTCATCCTAGGGGGCCTCCAAAACTGTCAGTGCCATTGCATTCTGGACCAATTGTAGCTTCCGAAAGTCCTTCAAGGGTAGCCCCATATAGAATACATTGCAATAATCCAAGTAGGAAATGATTAGAATGTGAGTGACTGAACACAGGTTCCCCACAATCTAGAAAAGGGCAAAAATGGTGCACCATACAATTTTGTACAAAGGCTTTCCTAGCCACAACTGCCAACAGGAGTTTGAGCAGGAGTCATGCATCTAGAAGAAACCCCAAGTTTCTGGTCTGGTCTGTCTGGGGTAGTGCCACCCCAACCAGAACTAAAGATGATAAGCCTCTGGATCCCGAGATTCTCCATACCCACAGCCACTTTTATTGGTATATCCAGATTTCCCTGGATGTATATCTTATTCCAGAGTTCACAGTGGAACAAAAAATATACACCCAATCCAGGGTCAAAAACTAGCAGAAACCAAGTATATCAGGGATTGATGAAAACTTGTTGCTGAAATTGGGCTCTTCGAATATAGCAACCTACTTGAATATATCATTACTCACAGATGGTTCTTTAATCTTCTGTGTCAGCTTCTGCTCTTCCCTCATCTGAGGCTATCATATTTCTCCTTGCTCTGCCTGGGCTTTTTGGCTGAAAGTCATATGTTAGTATTTGGGATAGATACTTTTTAACTTTTGTAGTGTTTTAAATAAATATTGGCTTCAATATTGAGTTTGTTGAATACATTTTTAAAAAAGCTAAATTCAAAGGATTCCTTTTCCTTAAAGACTAGTATATTACAAAAATTACGATGTATAGTGTAAAGATACATTTTGCACTGAAACATCTTGAATGTTTATTTGGAGAGGGAATATTGTTTAGATCAGGGGTGTCAAACTCACAGCCTGCGGGCCAGATGTGTCACGCACTGGCCACACCCACACCCTGTTTAGCAAAGGGGAAAAAGTGATACGTAACATGACAATGCTGTGACAACACGAGTTTGACACCCCTGGTTTAGATTGCATTTTTTTCCTCACAGGTAAGTTACTTCATGTATTTTTTGTCATTTTACATCTTTGTATATTTTCTGTTTCCATACTGAAACTACAGTATGTCTTAAAATGATGGATAATACAACTATTAAAGTGGGGGGGGGGATAAGCATTTTTGACTGGAGAACTTGTTTCTACTCCTCAAGTGCCACAATGAAATCACGGCAGTGGGCGGGAATAGTGATTTCCATTTGAAAGGATGAATTTAAAGGATGAGATTACAGATTTATTTTATTTTTTATTGTAACATTTTAAGCTTTGCCAATTGTGAAGGCTCTGAGGGTTTTAAATGGGGTACTGGGGCACCAGGTTTCCCATTCCAGTTAAAGCCAGAAGATCCCTACTAGGAAGAAAAAGCATTTCTCTGAAAAACAGAAAATTATAGTAAGTTGCCTATATGAAGGCTTAGTCTCAATGATTCACAACATTCAGAGATTTGAGCCATTCATTATTTGGCAAGTTGTGGCAGCAGCAAAGAACAGACAAGAGTTTATAAGCACCAAATTGTAGAAATTTCCAACAGCACAGCAGACTTTTTAAAAAAACACAGTGAGTTTTAGAAATAGTGAGGCTTATAGATCTGGTTGTAATTACCAAGATTCTAATTACCTTGGTTTGATTACACAAGGTCTTGGTTTAAGTTGTTTATGTTATGTATTTGTTAAACTTTAAGTCCACAGTCTTGCATAACACAGCAAAATTTACAACCAAGTGGCAGCTTCTGAATATACAGCTGGTGGAAGGGGGGATTTAAATATCTTTACCACACTTGCCAATGTGATGACTTGGGAAGCAGGCAGCTTTTTCCCATATTACTACTGTTTTTCCATCCAGTAGTATAAAATGAGTTGGAACTTTTGGCATAATTCAGCCATCACTGAGGCAATATAAACCATAAAGTCTACGTCTCGGAATGAGAACATGTTGGAATACATAAGCATTCCAAAATCTATGTGTCAGGGGGTTTTGTCAATAAAATAATGAAAACTTACAACAGAATTACCACCTTATGATGGAAAATAAGTGTTTGCAAACATTCAGTATCTCACAATGAGGAAACTGTAATAAAAATTCCAACAGCAATGTGCAGTCAATGCTTTTATTAAACTAAAAATCACAGTACCAGGTAAATCTATACAGGTTTTGACTGCAATATTATCAGACTCTCATCTCCCTCCCCCAAGCTGTTCCATCTCAAAACCTTAAATAAAGGTATTTATGATGGATTTGGAGCCTATTGTATAAGACTTGCTGAGTCAACCGACTGCTTTTCAGGACTTCAACTCTCATCGGCACTAACCAAATGTGACCAAAAATCATGAAATTTGTGATCTAACGTATCTGGGGAGTGCCCAGTTGCCCATATTTGTATGCGCCTCTCTCCAACTCGGTGGAGCAGAAATAAAGGAACGGCTGAACAAAAGGAAGAACTACGTCGTGGATGTAAAATCTCTGTTTCCAGAGCTTTACTTTTAGGTAGATTTGAGATCCCTTGCAACTGAAACTGCCGGGAGGAGAATGAGAGGTGGGTGGGGACCACGATTGTTCAGCGATGATGCAGCGAACAGGCTGAAGCACTGAGATGACCGTGGGGTTTAAACAAAAGGAAAAATCGCAAGCAATCTTTTGCGTCCTAAAGTAGCCCCACGGAATTGTCAAAAAGACCTTGCAAAGAATTGGCGCTTGGAAAAGATAGGGAAGGGTAAAGGGTGAGCTGAAACATGGAAAGTGTTGTCATTGGAGGAGCTGTAATTGCTGCGGCCAATCAAGACGCGCCTTTGCTGGGGAGGGGGAGGAGAAAACGCACCGGACACTTTTTTAACCCCGTGGTCAAATGAGATGCAGCCCGGTAGCCGGCGAGTAAATGGGAGCGGGAAGGGAAAGGAATCCTTGTCCGTCATCTGACCCGAGGAGACCAAGTTGGAATGGGGTCTCCTTTCACTCCTACGATCATATTTCATTTCCATTACGGTTTTTTTGTCTCACGACCCCTCCCAAGTCCCACGCTTGCACACAAGGAAAATCGTGCTTAGGGGTATGAGAGCTCTCTTGCATTAGAGAAGCCGGAGTATTTTTTAGAAGTGGGGCGAAACCGTTCTTAAAACGTAGCAAAAGAGGCTTGTTGCGCTGGGAAAGCTGCATCTTTGACTTCTGTATCCGTCATTCAGTTGTGAAGTAGATGCCCAATTTATTTTTTTTTAAATAAGAAAACAAAAGTCTTTGCTGTCGGAGGGCTTTCTCTGTAGGAAAAATGCAAATAATATTCCACCTTGGCCCCAATTCGGAAAGCTGCATTTTTCTGAGGGGATGACAGCAGCAAGAGAAGAAATTAAATTGTCATTGGAAAATATGATGGCGTAGTGTCACCTGCCATTTGCAGATGGTGCTTTGTGACCCAATGGCAATAGGATATTTTTTTTTCCTCCTGTTCCCCTTTCTTGGGAACAAGTTTCCCACCCCTTCAGCCAGCAAGTCTTTCAGAAAGGGACAACTACTAGTTTAGTAACAATAGAACAAGGTATTTCTAATAATGAAGCCGCATTTCAACCTTGTTCATAATCTACAAGTGTTGGATCAAAAGGACTTCCTGGCCTACTGCAGCTCAGCAGAAAATATAACACAATGTAGTTGCCAACTGCTGTGGCAAATAAATATCAACATAAATGAGCTGCACCTGAATGCTCAGCTTTTCCTGCCATGGATTCTATGATAGGAAATCTTTTGGCAGGCATGCAACATTTCGGAAGATCTGCCACTTCTGCACACAATGATTCATGAACACTTCAGGAGAGGGAAAAATGGATTAACCAAGTTCTAGAGTTTCAAACACAAATACGGCTTTCATTTAATTAAAACGGAATATATGAAACATGTCTTAAGATTTGCTTCTAAATTAATTTCTGTGTGACTTTTGATTCATCAAAGAGCTATTCTGTATAATTTCATAGGCATTATATAAAAAGTATATTGCAACTTTAGTTGAATCTTCATGGCATAAATTAATCATCTAGATATTAATAATAACTGATGACATTTGGTGTAATAGCAGTTGTGAGAGGGTATTCCGATTTGTCATACTGAATTTGAGATGGTTTGGCATATTTGAAATGCCTCTATGCTTGAACAGCCAATGAGATCCCTCTGGATTATTTATAGAACAACTAACGGATTTTAAGGTATGGGTTCAGTTTGCAGAGATTAGACAGAATTGTCTCTTCAAAGAACCAACTTCTAATCGGCAGCTTGTATTATTTTCACTGACCAAAGAAAACTTGGAACATTCTTCCTTTTGAGATGAAAATGGCAGAGAAACAGATTAGGTATGTCCCACTCTAGATTTTAAAAGATCTACATTGAGCTTCAATGTAAACATCAATAGATGTCAAATCAAAGATATCAAATGTTGGTATATGGTAGCCTAAATTCTGTGTAAAATGCAATAGGGTGAAAAGTGATGGAAGAAAATAAGATTGAAGTAATTGCAAGGTTGGAGGCTAATATAGTTACTTAGATTTTTTTTTTTTATTGGGGTGTTATCTCAAGTTTAGAGGGGAAAGAAAAATGTGTAGTAAGCCTGAAGCAATGACAAGGTATTCCACAAGAATCATGAAATTTAAAAGATGTTATTGCTACTTCCTATTGATTATGCTCTTAAGTAGCAAAACAAAGGACAAAGCAGCTAATTTTGTATGGATAGGAATAGGGAAGGGACAGGTTATGGGAAGAGAGAAGCAGTGAGCTGTAATTATAAATTATATATTTATACTATACTTTTTTCTGTTTAGTTTGCCTGCTAAACTCATCAATGGAGGAGCTGCTGGGATCATAGGTGTTACTTGTGTATTTCCAATTGACTTGGTTAAAACTAGGCTACAGAATCAAAGAAGTGGACAGCAAGCCTACAAAAGCATGTAAGTGACCTTTAGAAAAACATCTCAAGCCAATAAAACTTGTTTTGAAGAGGATATTTTTCAAAAGCCCTTTTAAATCTTGTCCATTTCTAGGACAGGAAACTTCTTCAATAGCTGGGATTTAATTTGATTTTTTTTTTTGTAACTATGAAACTGATATTACTATGTTTTAAATTGTTCAAATAGCAATTTTTATCATAATGGATAAAAATTGATGCAGATGCTGGGGAATAGAAATATACATTATTAATGGAATGATTATGTAATTATTATATGTAGCTCTAAGGCTTGAGATGCTCACATACCTGGCATTAGGGTATTCATTGTTGCTAATGCTAATTTCTACTCTTAGATGTACTTTAGATGAAAGTCATTTATGAAAATAGCAAAAACATTTGTATAGAGTGACTTTTGTATTAAGTATACATATGGATAGACATCATTGGAAAGACTAACAGATATTAAAACAATAGCTGGAATGATTCCAAAGTTTGTAAAAGCTTACAAATTGTTTTTACTGATGTTCTGATCAGATTGGACTGGCTAATTCTATATAAATATGGATAGATATCACTGGAAAGAAAAATAGATATTAAAACAATAACTGGAATTATACCAAACATTGCATATAAAAACTTATGAATTGTTTTTACTGATGTTCTGATCAGGTTGGATTGTCTAATGAAAACTTTACGTTCAGAAGGCTATTTTGGCATGTATAGAGGTAAGTATGTTTAGTTATTAATATTAGTATTAATTTTGATGGCTAGTTGTACTCATTTCATTAGATTGCAGTTCTGAATACATTTCTAATGTAGTAAGCCATGTTTCCAGGACTTCAGAGTAAAAGTGAATAGCATTTTATTATTCAGGGATTAAATACAGAAGCAAGGAAATACAAAAAAAAAGTTGCTTTTTAAAAATTTGTCAGGAGTTCTAGAGCTGGAGTCCAGTTAAGGGGAAAAATATATGACTGTAAGGTGTCAATTCCGATACAGCAGGAGTAAGGAATCTGAGGCTGACCAGAAGTTACTGAACTACCAGAAAGTCCAGGAGCAAGGAAAAGTGGGAATTTTAATTCAGCAATATTTAAATTACTACCCTTCAGTCGCCTATATAACAATGATGGCATTTTCCAAGCATTTATCTTAGTTGATTACTAAGCACTCAGGATTTATTCACTTTTCAAAGAGTGCTGAAATGGAGAAAGCTGCTTTTTTTCTCCCTCACGCTCAGGTCTTGGTTTCCTTTCCAATTTTTCTTCATCTCAAAAGAGAGCAATATTTTGGTTTGGATTGATTATGGAGAGGAAGAATAACACGGAGTTGCTTTGTATGCATTGTAATGATGGTGAAGACTGAACTTTTTGAACTATAGTTTGTTAACAGAGTGGAGTGACTAGAGCAGACGTGTCAAACTCACGTCATCACAGCGGTGTCACATGACATATTGGGACTTTTTTCCTCCTTCACTAAACTGGGCGTGGCCAGCGTGTGATACATCTGGCCCACGGGCCAGGAGTTTGACAGTCCTGGACTAGAACAAGGGCAAAACTCCAGAGAGGAGAGACAAAAGGAGCTTGTTTAAGGGACTTTCAGAAGAATAATAGTTTATTTCTCAAGAGAATAAAAATTGGAGAGGCATGACTTCTGTACTATAAAGCAAAGGCAGAGATGGTAGACCATACTTCTCCTGATTTTTTTTTTAAAAAAGCTAGCTTTCTTTTAAAATTAGAGACAGAATTCCAGGAAGACAGAAAAAAGGTTGCTTTCTGGCGTGTAATATCTCCCCAACAACTCTAAAAAGCATTATCTCCAGAAGTCAGGAAAAGTCCAGGAAAAAGAAGGGAACTTTGGTTTCAGCATTCAGGTGATTTTTAAGTAATGACTAAATGTTTTAGGCAGAATCTATTTTAAATTTACATTTCCTGGCCGTAGCAGAGTTCAGTCTTCTTTATATCTCCATACAAATTGTATGATTGTATAGTATTCAGTTCCTTCATGCATAAATATAAATAAATAAATATGTTATATATGAACTTTTTTTTCCAAATCTCTCAAGATGATAATTTTTCCCTGGAAACAGTTTTGATAAAATTTAGAATACCACAATTGTAACAAATCAGTGCAATCAGTGGTTTTGGGTTTTCAATTCAGCCAATATCCCAATTGCTATATACTATAAATTGAGCAATTACATAATTCAGATTCTCCATCAGTGCATAATTGCATTTTTAAATCTTAAAATTAAAAAGTGGAGTTTATTTTTTTTCCCTTTTCTTTTTAAAAATTAAGTAATTTTTCTTCAACTTTTGTGAGGTTAATCGAACTCTAATTTCCATCTCTCCATCTTTGGGAGATTCACCCAGCTCAGGTTTATGACCCAGTTTTGTATCCTTCTCTTGCAACACACACATATAGACATAAAGATGATAAACGATAGTGGGAGTAACAGTAACAGAGTTGTAAGGGACCTTGGAGGTCATCTAGTCCAACCCCCTGCTCACGCAGGAGACCTGTACTAGGGATTCGAACCGCCAAACTGCCGACCTTTCTGATCAACAAGCTTAGGTGTCATAGCCATTGAGCCACCTAGTCAGGATACAGGGAGGAGAGAAAACATTTTAATGCAGCTATGAGACTATCTCCAAGAAACATTATTTTCTTTTTGGTGGGCTATTTAAGTTACTTGATTATTCGCTTTAATTAAAGTTTGTAGTAAAAGTTACAATAAACTACTAAACATTCCTGAAAGCAAATATATTTCATGGAACTATATTAATGATATTTTTGGAAATTCATTTCATTAAATATTTCAGCTACTTTTTAAATTATCAAATTGATTACATTCTTTAGAACATGAAGAATCGCTAATTTAAAATACAGTGAATAAAGTTATTTCCAGTGAATATTGAATGTTCTTTGTTTCTGCAATCATTACCTTCCTTTTCTTAATTCTAATTTTAATTTTCTTTTCTTTTTAATAACGAGAACTCAACTTTGCACCAAACTGGTGTGATTTTTTTTTATAGTGTAATATTAACCATTAACATTGAAGAATACAATCACTTTATATTCATTAAACATAAGTATGTTTATTTATAGGTGCAGCAGTGAACCTGACCCTTGTAACACCTGAGAAGGCTATCAAACTGGCTGCTAATGACTATTTTAGACACCTTCTTGCCAAGGAAGGGTATGTTATTTCAGATACTAGACACTAAAGTATCACTTGTATCTTACATCCATTAAAGTCTATGTTCATGGTTGAGTTGAGATTTTAAAACTATTTTCAAGTTCTATATTTTTATAGTGCATGTTTAATATTTTTTAACATATACTTTCCTGGAATTCTTTTTTTTTTTTTTTGACCAAGGCATATTTTTAAAATAAATAATAACAATAATGTAATAACAACTAATTTATTCTATAAATGCCACCAATTAGTTGCACAATCATATTTGAAAGTGGTAAACAATAATATATTTTGAAACAAGATAATGCAAGCACAAAGCAAATAGAAGTAAAAGAGGAAAGGGAAAATATTATACTTCTGTCCTATAAATCAGGAAAGCAGTTTTTTGGGATTTGCCACAGTTAATTAAAAATTAACTGGAAATGCTACCATTTTATAGTGGCACTGCTATTCACAGACGAGTTTCACATTTTTGACAGAAGTCCCAGTTTTATCCTCAACTGTGTTCCTTTTGGATACAGAAATATGAAAGGCTCTACGCAGGGTGAAGGGAGTCACAAAATAGACAAGGAAAAGTGTACAGTGAGCACAGAAAGATAAGGTCATCCTCTTAGTAGGGACAGCTAGAGAGACAAACAGAACCACACATACAAGGTGAAGTAAGTAAAGGGTTTAATGGTGAAGTTTCTTGTATTATTTGTTTTTTTTTATTCTTTTGTCAAAAAAATTCTGTTCTTTGGAGAAAATCTGTGTATCTCCATTATACAGCCCATTCCCACTGCTGGAACTCCATGTTGTCAAATTAATGTAAAGTAATATGTTTGACAAATCTTCTTATTCTTTTTTCCTTTTAGGGTAGGGCTGTCTTTATCTAAAGAGATGCTAGCAGGCTGTGGTGCTGGAGTTTGTCAGGTCATTATCACCACTCCTATGGAGATGCTAAAAATCCAGCTTCAGGATGCAGGAAGACTAGGTAATGTTGCCTTGGATCTCTCTCCATATATTACACTGATCTCTGAGAAATAAATTAATCTTCTTACTATGTGGGATTTCACTGTAAAACTCTTACATATTGCACCGTTTTACCTTGAAAGAAAATTGATGGAAAAAATATGCTCGGTATCCTTCTCTCAAATTCAGGCTGTATTTTTCAGCTGTATTGAAACTATAATCTGTGTCATGATAGCTACATGACACAGATTATGTCACAGATTATGTCACAGCCACAACACAACCCAGAATGCTATAAAATAGTGAACCAAGTGGCAGGATAGTATTAGGAAATGTAGAAAATCTGCAGTGCCTTTTGTATGATTGGAATCAATAGAAATATAGTCAAGACACAAAAGACAAGATAAAATGAATTAATAAAGAATTAATAAACTGATCACTCCTGGATAAAAATTTAAGTGGCTACTAAGAGTTAATACTGACTTGATGAAGTATAAGCAAAACAATCACACAGATCAAAGTTTTCTTTGTCAAAAGCAAATCCTTTGTCCTAATTGCAATCTAAAACCACAGAATTGCTATAATTGGGAAAGGGGCTCCGTACACTGACCCCATCCTGCCAGTTACATTCTCTTCTTTATGTCTATTGGAGGAAGATTTGAAAAAGGGGGTATGGAATTTGAAATTCTGCTGATCATATACAGATCATAATTATATATGAATCTAAATATGTTCATCGAAGTTTTATTCCTGTGCTGTGAATAAATTAGGAATTGTTCTAAAACATAAGACTTATTTGAGCATTCAGACTCATATAATTACAAGTAGTTAAATAGATTCTAAGGATTCTAATACTCAGATTTAAGTTCAAGTGAGATTTTTCAAAACAACAAGTCTTAAGTATTTTCTATTATCATTTTAGCATCTCAGCAAATTGCGAGCCGAGTTTCTTGTTCCACTTCTGGATGCAATCTTGTAACCGTCAACCCTATCCTGACTAGAGCATACAATGTAGGACCTGTGGTTATCCCAAGGAAGATATCTGCCACCCAACTAGCAACTGAGCTTCTACAAACCCATGGCATCAAAGGACTCTATAAGGGTCTTGGAGCCACTTTATTGAGGTAAGGATTTTATGTTTTCCTAAGCTTTTTCATTCTCAGACTAGTTTTATGCATTGCTTGAAAAAGGAATAAATTTTGTCTTTCAGGGATGTTCCATTCTCTGTCATCTATTTCCCACTGTTTGCCCATTTGAATAGAGTAGGGCAAGATTCCTTGGAAGGGAGAACAAGCTTCTTTCATTCTTTTCTTGCTGGGTGCATAGCTGGCTCAGTGGCAGCTGTATCTGTGAACCCCTGTGATGGTAAGAATGACTCTATGTTTGTCTCTGGGCTACTTTGTCATGGGGACATGTTAGAAAAGATTATTCCTTGAGGATAACCTATGAAAGCTAATTTATATTTTTATCTGTTAAGGATTTCTTATATAGAGAAGACTATTGCTTCCATAATACTAGTTCTGTGGAATGGATACATTTTGAATTATCCCTTACTCAAGTAATTAATTGACCAACGTATCTCTTTAACACTTTTTTCCAGTAATAAAGACTCGTCTTCAGTCAATGGGCAAAGGAAGAAATGAGGAGAATTACAGTGGAATTATAGATTGTGCAAGGTAAAGCCTACAAAACAGTTCACATTTCTTGATTCTGAAGACAGCGTATTGACTTCCACATATTTGTCAGACCATTTGAACTGATTTTTCAATTGCCTTTAACTTACCTTGACACCTCTGTAGATACAAATCTTGTTAAAGTAATGAGTAACCAGTTGCCCCAAGTGCACAGTTATAACATGTAGAAGCCACTTTTATGTGATTCAGTCTAGGCTACATTGTGATGCCACACAGCCTATTCAGGTGGAATATTACAATTCAGAACTAGTTTTCCATATTAATTCTGCACAAAAGCATGAGCATTTGAATTGGCTTATAAAATTCTGGAATCATACCAAGAATCATCACTTCTTGGTATGACACCACTCTTTTGTAAGACTTATTTTTGTACAATGAGATACATATTGATAAGGGTAAATAGAGAAATCTTGTTGGTAAATATTTAACATGTGCTAAAATATGTTTAGGTAAAACACTGCATAATGTTTTAACCAATTAGGTCTTATTTACTTCTTTTTTTTTTGTCTCCACAGGAAGATTTGGATGAAAGAAGGTCCTTCAGCCTTTTTAAAGGGTGCTAATTGCAGAGCTCTTGTCATTGCACCTCTCTTTGGTATAGCTCAAGTAGTTTATTTCATTGGGCTTGGAGAATTTCTCATAAATCTATGCCCATAGAAAACTGTCCCCATAGACTTTCATTCATTGAATCTCCTGGAATATAATCACAAGAACCCAACTATCAAGAAACATTAGCAGTTCAGTCTATTGACAACTGGTTTTTTTCTGTTATTAAGCATGAAAAAGACAAAGCCGCTATAAAGACACCAGTCATAAAACACCATCCAAAATAGGGGCATGTCTGAGTTTAAGAAACAAGAATTCCAAGAGTGGAATGAGAATAACTACTTTGGATAAATGGAAGGCTGAAGGAGTATCTAGGGAAATGTTTTGTATATATGAATAGAACAGGAAAAGAAAGAACTATCTGTGGGGCCAAATCTTGAAAAGTGAATTAGGCATTTAGTTTTTCTTAGGGTTCCATAGATGATGTTAATCTAACCCACTTGCTGTCTTTCCAGCTGTATGTCTGCTAGTGTCTCACTCACTTAATTGGGAACAAAGGTGCATGAATTTTTATAGATTGTGTTTTTAACTTTACCTACACTAAAGAATTTGATTCCTGTGGTAACTTAATACAAAATAACTTAATCCAAATACTACCAGCAAAATAGACTAGTTCCTTAAATTTATTATTTAAAAAGTTATAAGCCATTAATAAAAAATGGAAAATGTGCCATTTAGAATCAAATACAGTATAATTTAAGACTTCAGGGAAGAAATGGTGAGCCAAAGGTAGCTCCACTAAGAGCAAAACCAATCACTGTTGTGGAATGAAGGGCCAGTGAGCAGACCAGCTCTTCATAATTCCTTTTCGGACAAGGAGGACAGTTGTTCCTTTTGAGGAGACAGCAAAAGCATTATCTGGAGTGTTTTCAGGTCAGAGAGTCAAGGGAACACCATCTTAGCCCAAACTGCAGTAGACTCTTTTATGAACACAGGGCTTGCATAATTTGTTTTTTAATCACTTTTGGAAATTTCTTGTTACAGTACCTGCTTTTCAGCTATTAGAAACCTTTGGAACAATACGTTTATAGCACCAGGTGAATTTTCTTCAATCCTTAGTGAAAGAAGTTTTACATACAAGTTATTTAAAAATTCTTTTTTTGGGGGGAGTAATCAGCGAAAAGGAGATTAGAACGTTGTTTTTTGAAAGTTAACAAACATACTAAGGATCCAGATGGATTTCAAATAAAATTTTGAAATAAGAATCCTTCTCATGGGAAAACGTTGCTATCTTGAATTCTTTTTTAAAAAGTGATAGGATTTTTAAGTTTTTATACTAGAGGGAACCAGAAGGAACTAAAGATTACAATTAAAGATTCTCATTGGCATCCTTCAAGGGTCAAGAGACTATGGTATCGTGCTCTGGAAAGAGGTCCTAAATCAGCATCTAGTGTGACTAAAAAGGCCAATTCGAGAGTGGTAATCCCTTCCACACTGAGGGCAGATACATTCTGTCCCCTGCCCAGCCCCCAGATTGCGCTGGTTCTGGGACTGCCTCTTTGCCTCAGCCTGCCGAACAAGTGTCTCTTCGAAAATTAAAGATTAATACTTACATTTTACTTACTAATACAGAATGGAGCAAAATACTTTCACATTGGTCATGTTAAAGGATATTTGTGAATAATATACCCAGAAGTTTAAGTTTAGGGGTGCTTGTATTATAGATAGACTGTGTTTAAAAGATGTAAGACGAACAGGTTTTACTCGAAAAAACTAAGACTGATTTGAAAACGGATTTAAAAATGACAGGCTACAAGAATGATATGAAAAAAGATGCTACCCTAGATATACAAATGAAACCAGCTGTTGTCTTTACAATTAAAGTAGATATACAAATAAGAAACCAAAATAATGATGTCGATAACTTTCCTATCCTATTGGATTTACAAAAGAGGATTGTTATAGTTTGAAGACTTTTTGTGAGATGGGCAAGAAAAAATGAACTCAAGTTCTAGAACACTCTGAATGGATTAAAGAGCAAGTTTGTTGAAAGTAAAAGGAAGGAATATAGAGCTGATTTATTTCATCAAGTTTAAAAACAGATATGTTATCTTGGGTAACCCTTAATGGACTTATTGATCAGGATGGAAAGATGAAGTTTTAAGAATTTGTATATAGATAAGAGATGAGATACTGGAAGAAGAGATCACTTATTTCATTTTAAGAGAAGGTAATAAGTTACAAAAAATGCTTATATTTGTGATGAAGGAGGAAATCGTTTCTTTTGTTTCTTTTCTATTTTTCTATTCATTTTCTTTTTTTAATTTGTATTAGTGTTTATCTTTTTAATTATAATATTTAATAAAATTACTATAAAAAAAGAACAAAGTGTAACTTAATTGGAAGCTGAAAATGTTTCCTGTCTATTTATATTGTTGATTGTACAATAAACTGCTAAGCATTTTTTTCTTAACAGGCTTTACATTCTAGATGTTATAGATCATTATTATATTTGTACATTATCACTGAGCTTGTCTGAGAAAGCGGAAGACTATGGGGGTGTCATTCTTTCTAAAGAACTATATGTAGATTTCAGGACATTATGTGCCTTGCATCAAGGATAATACAAACACTGTTATGTCCCTGCATTTAATCTACTACAATAAAAATGTTCAAACCAGTGAAACAACAATCTATGTATATGCATTTTGCTCTTCTGAGGATTGCACTGAAGCTTTCTGCAGCATGCAAGATTACATTTCAAATGGACAGGATTTTTTTTTCTTTAAAGATTTTAGTGTACTTTATTTTAAAATTTTATTTAAATGTTAAGTTCTTGGTCGCTGAAGATAGACAGAGTAGGAAAAGTTTAACTTTAGCTTTTTCAGTCAGAAAGCAGAACTTAAGATTTCATTCCATGGAGTCTTTGCTCTGACTCTGGTAAGGAAAAAGGGGTTGTTTTTATTCTTGACACTTTTTTTGCTGTGAAACCTCAGAAAAATGAAAGTCACAAAAATGAGCAGCCTATTATATTTTACTGTTCTGTCTTTGAATAAATGGACAGATCAAACTCATGGATATGCTATCCAACTTATTTATTTTAGCTGTTGCTGCTCTTTAGCTGTTGCTGTGCGTGAAAGATACAGAGAACCGAGACCTCAAGAGTTATGTAGCTTCTAGAACATTGCACAATAACCAGCACTACTTGCCTCCTGCACACAGTCACTGTAATCAGTGTTGCATTTCCCACATTTGCAACTCACTGCCACAGGATAGGAATAGTAAGAGACAGCATGGTGTTGACAGCCAGGTATCATCACGGTCCTGTACACCAGTTCCTTGTATGTACACACATCCTGGGAAAGGGCACTTTGCCTCCGGAGCAGTAGCTTCTTAACATTACTGTCCTGTAACAAAATGCCAATGGTTATTCTGCCTTCCTAATAGGCTTTGTTTAAAATTAGCCTGATAAAGTTGGATTCTGCTCTCCACTTGCTCTTCCTAATCACTATGCAACTGAAATTAGAAGGATCCTTTCATCATTATGGGAGCTTTTCAAACTAAAAATCAAGCAACAGCAATCTTACTGAAATGAGAAAACAGTTAAAACTGATCCTGTATAAAAAGATTATGAACTGTTTGAGCTATTAGAAAAGAATGTGCTTAGGATGGGCACTTTTTTTGGAAGGACAGTTGCTCAGAGGTAGCACCTACTCTGTGTGCAAAAAGTCCAAGTTCATCTTTGGAGAAGACTTAGGAAGATCAACTGCAGAAACTGGAGAATTGACTGTCAGACCAATGTGATTGAGCACAAATGGGCTGTAAAAGGAAATCAAATATCAAGTTTTTTAATTAGACTTCTCTCAAAAATCTAAATTTCAAGGGATTCTACTACAGAACCATCAATTAAGTTATTTAGTCAACGTTACTTAATTACTCATTGTTGCTTACTATTTTTAAAAAGTAAGAACAATTTAAAAATGAAGCAGATCATAACAGTAAAATATCCTAAAGAGGCTCAATCATCAATTTACAGCATGGCCTGGGGAAAAAGTTACATTTTCAGTGACTTTCTGAACATTTTCCAACAGGAATTCATACAGACCTCTGGAGGGGCATGCTGTTTCAGAGGACAAGTGCTAAGACTTTCTTCTAGATAGATTACATTACTTTATCAAACAGACCTGAAGTGCATTTACTGTGCTGGACCTCATTGGACAGATAGCAACTATCAGAGATAATCAGTTACTCAAACATACGTTTTGAATTTTTTTTATTGGAAGAATCTGTTTGTTCTAGTGTTTCTACAATTTGCAAACTAATGTCCTAATTAATTAGGATAAGAAGGAATGGCTTTTGATGTAGTCTGTCTCCCAGAGGAAGGGAGGAAGGAATTTTGGAAGTGTTGGAGAAGGTCAATAATATATTAAAAAGAGCACAGTTGTTTAATAGTAGCTTAAACATCTGGAAAGATTGAAATCCTGCATGTATTCTGCATATTAACCACTTTTTTAGACACAACTTGAGAAAATAAGGAATAATCATCCTTGAAGGGGAATGTAATATTAAAAGAAATTTCAAATTATCTTCTCTTATTATAGAAGATAATTTATTAAAAAATATTCTTATAAATTTCTTCCCACTATTTATCCTCTTAAAACAGGAGTGAAAAACTGTCAGTGGCCAGCTTTGTGTGTCATGTCTAGGATTGCATTCTACACGTGAGTGCAAATTCTTAAGACACCCAATTTAGTATGTCACCTTTCCCCAAAAATTTTTTTAAAATGCAGAAAAAAAATCAAATGTCATTAATGGGAGAGGCATAAAACACATGCCAATAGGTCACATACAGCCATTTGCAGGTGGGAAATCCATAGAACTCGGGTGTTAGCCTAAATAAATGGAATATGAAAAAACCAGTTCAGGATTTCTAAAGTACAGAACATGATTCCATTCATATTCCGTTAACACTTCATCTACTGTGGCCCCAATCAGCCCCAAACCCCAAATATTCATGCTCAGATATATGCTCAAGAAGGATTATAAGGAGAGACTCATAAGTATCTTACAAGGCCATATCCACTTACCCAAGTCATGCAGAATCCTTCACAGATGGTGGTGTTGATAGCTAAGCAGTAGCCACATTCTCTCTTCTCCACATGGATGACATAGTCAACAGGGATACAAAGAGCCAGACTTTGCCCCAAAGTCAAGGCAAAGACTAGGGGCAGAGAGATGGAAAGGACAGGATTCATGCTGGATATAAAGGTAAATCAAAACAAAATATCACTAGGATAGGTCTAACAGGAACAGAAATCAGGTCCTGTCAGCACGCATTATATCCTGTCTCTATTCCCCCATTTCCATATTACTAGAAATCAGGAGCAATTAATTTCCTGCTAAATTGGAGGAAGGCACATTGAGATAATTCCCTACTTAAGCACTATACAGTGCATAGATAAGAAATATACCAGGGTTTTTTTTTTCCCCTAGGTGGCTTTCTAGCTTCCTCTAATATGAATATAAAGGCAGTCTCCACATTACGGTTGTCTTCCTTTTTCATCTTGATTTTATCACTAGGATTCTGTACTTCTAAGACTCAAAATAACGTAACTAGGTCTGAAAATGGATATATGCAAAATATTCACAGCCAATAATTAGAGCATTTCCATATTCTCAGATATTTGCACACATGGATGCTTTCACACACACACACAATTTTTTTTACCCAAAAGCAGACCTATTTTTTACTTCTTCCCCCTTGTTGTAATATTACTGGTGCTGTAACATTGTTGCTTTGACACTACTGCATAATAATCAAACATGAAAACAGATCTGCATTGTAGTTCTTACCTTCCTCTCTAACTCCATAGAAACTTTGCTAACAAGGAAGAACTGATACATATTTAAAGGAACAAATACATATTTAAAACAAAGGAAAGGGGATGGAAGTTTTGCATGGAATGGGAAAGTAAGCGAAGTATATTTCATTCAGCTTGGGCAGAAATCAAAAAGGTGCCCACCGGGATATATAAGATTTTAATGGAACATGGGCTTCTAGGGTTGAGACAGTGCATTGATTTAACAGGCCATTGAATCAAATGCAACACTATTTTTTAAATTGTGGAGAAAATAGCAGCTTGACAACCCATCAAAATATACCAGTACAGGCAGCAACCAGCCACTGGAGGGAGGGGTAATAATGTCAGGCATGGCAGCCTACTGCTAGGACAGAATGAAGCATTGGAAACCATCAGCTTTAAAAACAGCAATTTTGAATTAGAGTTGGAAAACATGGATGCAGTATGCAATGGGTTGGAAGTGGGAGCAGGATGATGTCATCAGATTCTGTAATCAGGAAGTGCTGAGTGGCTCAGACTAGTAATGGGCCAAACAAAAAGTGAAGAATCTGTCCCAACTCTTTTCCACCACTTCCAATATTGGAAGTCAGCAATATTTTCTTCTCTTATTCTTCTCTCTATTCTGTTATTCTTTCTATTCTATCTCTAATATTTTTAAAGAAAAATGTTCCTTGCAACAGGTGACTTCGTAATGTTTGATTTCCTACTAAGCTGATTTCTGGTGAACATTTTTTAATTTGTCAATGTTCTTAATGTGTGACATCTGAATAATTAGTGCTCTAATTTCAGCTTCACAAGCACACATATACCCCAATTGTTGCCAAATGATATCAAGCTCATGCAGGCAATTGTTTATTCAATGTGACCAATATTTATGCCACATACAGTATATCTAGTTCCTAAATGCAGCCATTCATATTCATTTATATTGAATTTCATCTCATTGTTCAAATGTACTGAAATGGTTTCAGATTTTGATTATATTTTCTGTGCCGTTATACTTTCCACATACATTCTGCTTCATTCAAACATTATATCCAGAATTTGGAAACTGGTAAAGCCACTGACAGAGAAAAAAACTTGATTAATGACAGATCAAATGCTGAAGAATGACGTAAATCAAGAAGAACTGATAGTATAGAAAATACTTTTTGTTAAAAATCTTCCCTCACAACAAACAGAATCCTGCTTAGGAAAATGTTTCTGAAGGATAATCATGTTATTTTACAGCCAAAATACACCTATCTTGTGGCACCTCAAAAACAAAGCAGTATGTATTGTAAGTTTGTATTGTTGAACACTACATGTTCCAGTCCACAAATATACAGTAATTTTTTCCAGATTCACACGTACAGAGGCACATAAAGCTAGGGATACATACCTATCTCTGCTGGGCTGTCCAAACTCAGAACAGCTCGGAACACCTCAGAACACCTCAGAAAAGGAGAATCAGTCTCTTGTCTGCACAATCTTTTTTTCATGCAGTCACCCTATGTGTCTTTGAGTTTGCTTCTGAGAAAATGCACAGTTCAGACGCTGGGCGCATTTTATATTTTCCAGGTTAATTCCTGGCTAATCTACTGTTTATATAATTGCATTAATTGTTCCTTCTAATCTCAGTAATATCTACTGCAGGAGTCATACAGGATTCATTCCAAGGAAATGGAATTGAAAGAACTGGAGTTAAAATATCTCTGCCTGGCAACTGAATTGTAGTTAATATTAATTACTTTAAAATTAATTTTTTATTCTCCATAAAACAGAAATACATATTTCTGAGTCTATGTACATGCTAGTACTGGGATTGAAGTCAT